TCTGAAGGTCACCAGATTGGGGGAGGCTGCTTTCGTGTGTAGCAAATGTTCTGAATTATTATTATTATTAATAATAATAATAATCATATACCTCCCTATACCCGGAGGACTTGGGGCGGTTCACAGAATAAAATCAGAATATAAAACCACAAAGCCATAATCAAAATAAAAATGACAACAACCCGATAACCTCCCCGTGGAACGCCCTCCCATCGTATCTCAAGGAAATAAACGACTATTTGCCTTTCAGAAGACATCTGAAGGCAGCCCTGTATCAGGAAGTTTTTAATGCTTGATGTTTTTGTGATGTTTTTAGATATGTTGTGAGCTACCCAGAGTGGCTGGGGAAACCCAGCCAGATCGATGGGGTATAAAATAATAATAATAATAATAATAATAATAATAATAAGTATTATTTTATCATAATAAACAACAAACAACAGCCCACATTTTAAAAGGGCATAGGATGTCAATCAAATCAGCCAAAGGCCTGGTTAAAAAGGATAAATCAGCCAAGGGCCTGATTAAAAAGGCACCTAATGTATAACGAACGTGCCAGGCGAACTTCCCTGGGGAGAGCATTCCACAGACAGGGAGCCACTGTAGAGAAGGCCCCGTTCTCGTCTTGCCACCCTCCTGACCTCTCAAGGAGGCGGCACACGAAGAAGGGTCTCAGAAGATGATCTCAGGGTCCAGGTAGGTCATATGGGGAGAGGCAGGCCTTGAGATATTGCGGGTGGTTAGAAAGCCCTCCCAGTGTCAAACACATTTGCCTGCCAGTTCCTAGCTGTGTTTTCCCCTGTTCCAGGATCGTGGCATCTGTCCTGGTGGAAGCTTGTGGGAGACGCTTTCCAGCTGCAAAGGCTACTTGCACATCTGGGATGCATTCGCAGGTAAAGAGAGCCCTCTGCTGGTGCCATCGTGGAACAGAAACCTGCCTCCTCTTTGCCAGGAAAGGACGATCCCCAGCCCAGAGAATTGCAATTTCACTTTTAAAAACAGCTGGCTATACTTTACCCACAAGAAAGTATTGCTAAAGAACAGAGGGCAGGGAATTAACGCCACCTCTCTTAACCGCTGTCATGATTTTGTGAAAAGTGGGGGGGAAACAGAACACCATCCGTGAGGTGGGTAACTGAAATCTGGGACATTGTGTGCTTACCTACAGGGTGAGAAGCAGAGAGGGCGGACAAGAAGACAGTGGATTTATTGAGAAATGGATAATGTACTGGAGTAATAAGTTACAGCAGAGTGTAAACCTATTTGGGTTACTTAGAACCTTGCCATATTAATTATTGTGTTTGATTCTCCCCCCCCCCCGCATTTGGCATCTGTTAATTACATTTGTTGCATTCTAAATTAATATATATGTGTACATTTCAAAAAGGGAGGGAGGAGAGAGAGAGAGAGAGAGAGAGAGAGAAGGAAGGAAGGAAGGAAGGAAGGAAGGAAGGAAGGAAAGAGAGAGAGAGGGAGAGGGAGGGAGGATCACTGGAATGTAACTGTCAAGTTATCACATGATTTCTTTGCCATCAAAGCAGAGCAACCAGGGCAGACTGTGCCTCCTCCACCCAGTTTGTGTTTGTTGTAGCTCCTGCCACATAGCCTGTGCCATCCCTCCTCAACGGTTGCCTCCTCACTGGAAAAGTGTGAATCCTGCCCTATTTTGTCTCAGGGCACAGAATGGCGCTGTTCTCAGAGACGCCTGAAGAGCCTGCACTTTCTCCTCCTGGGCCCTCGCTCACAGAATCACAGAACCGTGATTGGAAGGCACCCCCAAAGGCCATCTAGTCCAACCCCCTGCAACACAGGTGAAGAATCCCTGGCAGGTGGGCATCCACTTGGTCCAAACGGCAATCCCACAGCTCCCGAACCTCTCCCAGCGGGCTCCCCCCGTCCCTGCCCAGCTCTGGGGCTGCCATTTAGGGAGGGCCAGGCTGGCTCCTGGGACACGGGTGGCGCTGTGGTCTAAACCTAGGACTTGCCGATCAGAAGGTCGGTGGTTCGAATCCCGGAGATGGAATGAGCTCCCGTTTCTCGGTCCCTGCTCCTGCCAACCTAGCAGTTCGAAAACACGTCAAAGTGCAAGTAGATAAATAGGTACCGCTCCGGCGGGAAGGTAAACTGTGTTTCTGTGCGCTGCTCTGGTTCGCCAGAAGCGACTTAGTCATGCTGGCCACACGAACCGGAAGCTGTACACCAGCTCCCTCGGCCAGTAAAGCGAGATGAGCGCCGCAACCCCAGAGTCGGCCATGACTGGACCTAATGGTCAGGGGTCCCTTTAGGCTGGCTCCTATCACCATCACCCCACCTCTGCCTTCAAACTAAAGTTCTCCTTCTTCAGGTGAACTCCCTATTCTGTTCCAGCCAGCGCAAGGGAGCCACGCTCAGATAGAATTGTCAGATGGGCCCGAGTGTTAAAGATGGAAGTCCAAAGGCACACATCCCTGCGGCTTTTTAAAAAAAATAAATGCACAATCTGTGATGATAACACCGCTCTGGTTATTATGATGCATAAATAAACCCCACAGACGCAGTTTTTTAAAAATTGCAATTTCGTCTTGGACACCTGAGGGAGGAGATGCAGATAACAGAAGCAGGTGTCTCTCGCAGCGCAGCCCTCAGACCACCTCCTCCTTGCATGCTGGCTCTGCTGTCAGTCTGCAGGTGAGCTCACCTGAATATTCTGGCAGGAGGAAGGAAATACACCTTGCAAAAGGCACAGGGTGGGAATGAGTTCCTCGTCCTCATTTTAGGTGGCCTCAATATGAAAGATAATTTTATCACGGTTTTTAGTTTTTGGTTTGTAATGTGTGTTGCAAGCTGCCTTGCATGCCATTCTGGAAAAAGGCAGGGTAAAAACAAACTTAAAAATAGCAGCATAAGAACACAGGATTATTATGACCATAAACATCCCAAGAGAAAGCAAACAAGTATTTCTATACACAACAACGGTGGCTAGAGTGTTAATTGCCAAATATTGGAAAGGGGATTCGATACGAAGGAAGAGTGTGTGAATATGCAGAGCTAGCCAAAACGACAGAAGCAACAAGAAATCACTTGAACTTAAGGGTTAAAAAAGAAAGGGATTGTTTCAAAAATTATGTGCAAACATGCTTCCCAAATCAAAACTTGGATGTGCCTAGTGGGCCAAATGGTGTTAAAAAAGGATAGAACTTTCTTTATGTATGCAACAACAGCAGCAAGAATACTCATCGCAAAGTATTGGAAGACACAAGAACTTCCCACGCTGGAGGAATGGCAGATGAAACTTATGGACTATATGGAATTGGCGGAAATGACTGGCAGAATCCGTGACCAGGGAGAAGAGTCGATGGAGGAAGACTGGAAGAAATTCAAAGACTATCTTCAGAAACACTGCAAAATTAAGGAATGTTAGAGTGATGTTGGATTGAAAATAAGTGGTTTCCAGCTGTACAGGTTAAAGATAAGGATAGATTAAGATTAAAGATCAAGACTACAGATGTTTAAAGAAATGGAAATTTGATAATAAAAGGGAAAAACTTAAAGGTATATGACATTAAGAACAAGGATTAGGTTTAAAAAAAAAGTTGAAATTATATATTTCAATATTTTATTAAATTAAAGATTGGGTTTAAAAAAGTGGAAAAGAAACTGCTGGACAAATAATGTAGATTGGAATACAAAAGAGGGAGGTATGAGGAAGTCGAGAAAATAAGTAACTTAAAATTGGGAATGGAAAAGAGAGTTTGTTTTTAATTGTTATGTTTTGTGTTTTTATTGTTAAATTTTGTATTGTTTTTTTTTTGTGTGTGTTGTTTTTCTTTTTTCTTTGTTTAAAACCTTAATAAAAAATTATAAAAAAAACAGAAACAAACAAAAACAAAACTTGGATGTGCCTAGAGTAAATTTCACAAAATAAAAGACAATTAGAGGAGGTATCCTATATATAAAGAGAAGATTGAAAGCATACTAGAACACAGAAAATGAAATAGAGAGAGATGATGAAGCTGTGAAGAGGTAGGGGAAAGTAATTTATTATATTAAGGATATGAACATGTACAGAAGAATAAATAGACTTGTGTACGTAAATGTAGAAGAAAAGATGTTTATCTGTAAATTTTAAAATGCAACGGGGACACACTTGGGCAAGACACATGCAGCATGAAAAGTGGAAATAGAGCCACAATTCAAAATACAAGACACCGTAATAATCAGCATGATTTATTATTACACATTTCTATCCCACGGTGCCTTCAAGGCGCTCAAAGTGGCAAACATGCCTTCTCCCCCAGGTCTACTTGACCTTCACAACAACCCTGCGAGGTAGCCTGGCCTGAGAGATCGTGTGTGGCTGAGCCAAAGTCACCCAGTGGCCAGAGCAGCGCACGGAAACGCCGTTTACCTTCCCGCCACAGTGGTACCTATTTATCTACTTGCACTTTGACGTGCTTTCGAACTGCTAGGTGGGCGGGAGCAGGGACTGAGCAAAGGGAGCTCACCCCGTCGCGGGGATTCAAACCGCCGACCTTCTGATCAGCAAGTCCTAGGCTCTGTGGTTTAACCCACAGCGCCACCCGCATCCCGGTATGTGTCTAGTGAGAGATATAACCTCCATTTGTGTTCACATGTTCCGAAGGCTTTGATGCAGCCCATAAGTCGCACAGAAACCGATGCTAATTGTGACTTTGGCCCACAGCGGAGAAAGATCCCTGAGCTACATGGGCAGTCAGGTCTCACACCTGGAACTCAGGTCTTGCTGCCGGCGTGCGCAGGATTGCTGCCGCGCATCGTAGCCATGAGCGCTGCTTGGCGCAGCAGACTCCCGCGACAGTTGCCTCTGGGACAGAACAGGATTTGCATATAGAGTTTTTATTTTTCTGCTTTCCTACAAAACCAGATTTTATCGATGGCACAAACACAAAAAACACAAGAGGAAAAAATAAATTAAATTATATCTTTTTCTACTTTAAAAAGTGCAGCTACTGCTATATAAATAAATATCGCGATTCGCGACCGGCCATTTTGCAATGTCCTGCTTTTTTAAGAAAGGAAGAGGCACAACCAGTTATACCCTGAGATGGCCGAGAGGCTCTGAATCACCAGTCCGAGTTGGTGGCAAACTTGGCAAGGAAGGGAACGTTTAGGGTTGAGGCTCAGTGGCAGAACATCTGCTAGCATGAAAAGGTCACGGGTTCAACTCCTGGCATTTCCAGGTACTGCTGGGAATCTTCCCCATCTCAAATCCTGGAAAGCTGTTGGCGGTCTGTGCAAACAAACCTGAGCTACATAAGGAAAATGGTTTGACCTGGTGTAATGTTAACGGCTACAATTAAACTTTGAGATATTAGATTCAGATTTCAAACATTCACCAAGGTCTGCATTAGGCTCCAGGGCCAGATCTACAATTTTTGCCCTGAAGGGCAAAGGTCAGCCCTGTTGCCCTCTGCCCTGGCACCGGATTCAGGAGGCTTGGCATAGAACTCAAAAGCTTTGGGCGAGCAAACCAAATCCAACAGCAAGGGCTGCCCATTCACAATACCAAACTAAGCTGTCGTGGAGAAAGAACAGCAATATGTAACTGACCTATGGGACTCACTGCCACAGGATTAATGTATACATCATTTCATGGATTCATGGAAGATAATCCTGAGACTGGATATGGGCTGGCTAGTTCAACAGAGCCTCCTTGCGCCAGTGTGTCCTGCTGACCAGCTCCCTGGCGCCACATTAGCGCCCAGAAGCAGAGGCAGCGAGCAGAACGCAATGCAGCCAAGAGAGTCCACTAGCGCAAGGACTTCTGGCTGCGCAATGCAAAATCCCCTGCCTGTCTTCTCCCTGCTGCCCCCACCCAGCTCTGGTCCACGGGGTCTGGGGAATCCCCAGAACAGATTTAGGGGTGCACAGAGACAGAGAAAGTTCTGTCGCACAGCCCAAAGTCCTAGCGGAAGCCCTTCGCTGAATGCCGCCCGATGGAGCCAGGCAATGAGTGTGCACGCAAAGAAAGACCAAGACTGGCATCCAAAGGCCCAGACCACCCGCCTCAGTCCTCAGGTGGACCAGCAAGGCTCTGGGGGTGTTCACAGGGGCGCCAACAAGTCCTGGCCTCCCCAGGAGGCAGATGCCAACTCTGCTAAAACAAAACGAAAGTGGTGTCCTCGGCTGGGGCAGCAACCGCTAGACTTCGATGTCCACGTCCCCCTCCTCATTCTCGCCACTGTCCTCCTCGTCTGGCAGCCCCCGGGGGACGGGCTGCGGACCCCCAAACTGCGAGAGCTTGGCTGCCTTCTGCTCCAGGCTCTGCTTCCGCCATTTGATCCTCCTGTTCTGGAACCAGACTTTCACCTGCAAGGCAGAAGGGCAGAAAGTGGAAGGAGGATGAGCAAGGAAGCGATCCTGTCCCAATCCTGACAGCATCAGCGCGCAAGGATGCCCCCTGCCCGTCTGATTTGGGCTCCCTTCCAACTCTACTACGAGTCTATGGTTCTAACTCCCTCAACCGTTCCTCATCAGGCCTGGCTTCCAGGTCCTTGACCACCTGGGTCTCTCCTTGATGCAAGATGCCGCTTCTTAAGAGAGTCTAACAATAAAACAAGGAACAGGCTGGTGAGACAATGACTGCTGCAATCGACACAAGATCCTATCACCAAGGCAACTATCTGTAAACAAACACTAAACATCCATCAAAATGGCAAAAGTAGTTTCCAAAATAGGTTTTATCTCAAACAATAGCAAACCCAGTAAATAAAGTGTTCATTTGTAATAATATGTCAATGGTTCAGTGCTCATTTCTTCTTTTATCTTGAATAATTGCAAACGCAGCAATAAAGAGTCCACTTGTGACATATCAGTGATTCAGAGCTCCAGTAATGCGAAGTTTCGTTGCTAAATGTGGGATGTGATCCATGAAAGGCAGTCAAGTACAACATTCCATGTAATGCTAGAGAAGACATGCGAGGGAATGTTTGGTCCAGCCAGTCAAAACTTCCTGTTCCTCCTGGCTGGAGCATCCTTCCTTTTGCATGTGATGGAAGGTGGGTGTGACTTTACCTGTCCAGGTAACAAAAGGTCGAGTCACGCAGCACCCCTCCTCTCTTTTTGACTTCCTTCTTCATTGGACCAGCTTTTAGCTAGGACTGCTCTGCTAGCTTCTCAGCTAGAAGCAGCACTGGGATTATTCCCCCATATGGGGTAGATCCACATGTACATATTTGTAACTAAGTCTGCCTTCAGGGATCCAACTGTGAACTGATGTGAGTAAAATTCTTTTATTGACTTTGAATAAGATTGGGGCGTCTTTATTCTTTTAAGAGGGAACTTACTAGGAACTTACTAGGAACGCACAATTCAATCTAAGAGAGATTGAACTGTATAATAGTGAGAGGCTCACACGAGCCTGCAACCAGCTATCTGCTGTGCTGTGTAAAGGGGAATGTAAACTCTGCTAAGTAAAGGAACTTGCTAGTGCAAGTTAGGAAGGATATTAAAGGTAAAGGGACCCCTGACCATTAGGTCCAGTCGCAGACGACTCTGGGGTTGCGGCGCTCACCTCGCTTTACTGGCTGAGGGAGACGGCGTACAGCTCCTGGGTCATGTGGCCAGCATGACTAAGCCGCTTCTGGCAAACCAGAGCAGCGCACGGAAACGCTGTTTACCTTCCCGCCGGAGTGGTACCTATTTATCTACTTGCACTTTGACGTGCTTTCGAACTGCTAGGTTGGCAGGAGCAGGGACTGAGAAACAGGAGCTCACCCGTCGTGGGGATTCAAACCGCCGACCTTCTGATCAGCAAGTCCTAGGCTCTGTGGTTTAACCCACAGTGCCACCCGCGTCCCTAGGAAGGATATTAATTTCCTCTTCACTTTCTGCCATCAAGGTTGTGTCATCTGCATATCTGAGGTTGTTGATATTTCTCCCAGCAATCTTAATTCCGGCTTGGGATTCATCCAGCCCAGCCTTTCGCATGATGAATTCTGCATATAAGTTAAATAAGCAGGGAGACAATATACAGCCTTGCCGTACTCCTTTCCCAATTTTGAACCAATCAGTTGTTCCATATCCAGTTCTAACCGTAGCTTCTTGTCCCACGTAGATATTTCTCAGGAGACAGATGAGGTGATCAGGCACTCCCATTTCTTTAAGAACTTGCCATAGTTTGCTGTGGTCGACACAGTCAAAGGCTTTTGCATAGTCAATGAAGCAGAAGTAGATGTCTTTCTGGAACTCTCTAGCTTTCTCCATAATCCAGCGCATGTTTGCAATTTGGTCTCTGGTTCCTCTGCCTCTTCTAAATCCAGCTTGCACTTCTGGGAGTTCTCGGTCCACATACTGCTTTAAACAACAAATCCTCTCCTGCCACCTTGTTTTTTCCAATAATTTTTATTATTTTTTTCCAAATATCTTAAACACAATACATTTTAACAATATTATTCTCCTTTAAATCTATATATAGATATAGAAGATATAGATTCTCCTGCCACCCTGAACATTCCCACACTAAAGTGCTTGCTCATTGAGCTTTGTAGTAAATAATGTACAAGAGAAGGCAGCATGTAAACGACTTGAAGCAGGGATACACCTGTCCCCACCTCCACTGGGAGGAGCGCAGAAAGAGGAGGATGTGCTTCAGTTTAATTCTCCTTCTTAAGAGAAGGCCGGAGGGGAAGGATGCTGAGCTTCCTCCTGGCCTTGCTGTGTGCGTTGGGGGGGGGCACTGCCTACCTGGGTTTCTGTGAGGTGCAAGGTGGCGGCCAGGTCCACCCGCTCGTTGCCCACCATGTACTGCTGCTTGAGGAACTCTTTCTCCAGCCGGTCCAGCTGCTCTGGCGTAAAGACGGTGCGCACCCTCTTCATCTTGCAGGGACCCCCCGATCTCCACGAAAGGGGAGCCCCCAGGGAACCTGCAAGGGCGCAGTGAGCAAACTCCAGCTCTGGAACGGCAAAGGGGGAGACATCCTAGTGACACGGGGGTCAAGGAAAAATACACCACTAGCCAGATTAGCGACTAGCCTGGGAGACGCTGAGGGGGAGGGAAAGCAGGTCAGAGAACCACAGGCTTGTAGAGTTGGAAGGGTCCCCTTGAGTCATCCAGTCCAACCCCCTGCAATGAGCCCTGACAAATGCTGGACATCCAAGCTGTGACCCACCCACATCCCCCCTGAATCACACGGCAGCAAGGAATTTGTGGCCGCCCGGTGGGATTTATTTGTCGTAAAACCACTGGCAGGCCAGCTTTCATTTCTAAGCAACACCAAGGCGGCTTGCAGGACAATAAATTGGGCAACACAGAAGAAAGCGTAGCAGTGCCCAGAACTCTGCAGAGATGCTGCCTGTCAGTGCAGGGAATGCTGAGCCACGGATTTATTCTTGCACCCTCCATTCCACCTGCCAAAGAGGATGCGAATCTGCCTATGACATGACGCACATGCCAAATCTATGCCTTGGGCCCAATCCACGTACAGTGTTGCAGAATCCTCTTGGCACCCCTGAACCTGATTTCTCTCAGATGATCCATGGGGCTGGAGACTGGCTCCTGTGGGCATAAGGGGCATGGAGGGGGGGCCCTTCAAATAAACTGGTCCCAAACCGTTCAGGGCTTTTGAGGTCTTTAGGGTTTGGGGACACTTTGAGCCGAATTTGTCATGGCCTTTTAGAACAATAAACTCATTGCCTGACTTATGAGCTTGGGAAGGAATGGGCAGCCGGCACCACTGACGCAGAATCGGTGCAATATGATCCGCCCGCCTAGACCCCAACGCCTTCTGCAGTCCCTGGGCTGCCATTGCTGCAACCAGGAAGGCGTGCCAGAGGCCGGGTCTGCTTTTCCCCAATGAGTCCCAGTTGGGCTTTTGCTACAGTCATGGTCTCACCTGGGGGAAGCCCCATTCAGTTCAATACTTTGGAGTAGACACTATTTTCAAAGCAGATTCAAGCGCACACCAGCAAATGTATGTCACATAATTAAGAGGGTTGGAAAAACTTTTTTATTTAATCCCTGCAACTACATCCCACCTTTTCCTGAAAGAAGCTCTGGGTGGTGTCAGAAGCAGATCTACATTTTGGGGGCCCTGAACCTTGAACTGTTATGGGGCCCCTTCACAACCAGAAAGACTTCAATGGGGTGGTTCCTCAACAGATCACAACACCTTCACAACAGCCGGGCTATCGACTCTCCGACTTTGGGAATGTTGAAATATATACAACAAAAAATGTGACTCAAATTGGGTTTATCAAACCCAAAACTTTTAAGCAATGTGGACTAAATTCGCTTCTCAGGGCCCTCCAGGATTCGGGTCCTGAAGCTTCATTCGTTTCAGAGTAGATCTGCCCTATACATGCTCCTCCCCCTCCTCATTTAATCTGCCCAACAACCCTGTAGGGGAGGCAGTGCCGGATTGACGTATAAGCTAAACAAGCTCTAGCTTAGGGCCCCACAAAAAATTAAAGAAAAAAACCTGGATGTACATTTCCAAAATGTAAGATAAAAAACAAATAAAATATAACCCACATACAGCAACAGTGTTTTGTGTTGTGTAGGCTTCTATTGGTTATACACAAATGGCTTTAGATACCTATTAGGTCCATCAATTACCATGTAGCATATATTCAACACAAAAAAAACAGTGACAATTTGTTGTTGACAAAGGGCAGCTGGACATAGAAAGGGCCCCGTTACCTTCAGAAGCTGAGGGCCTCATCAAACCTCAATCCGGCCCTGAAGGGAGGTTAGGCTGAGAAAATCACTGGCCCCCAAGGTGACCCTGCAAGTGGGGCAGTGAACCCTGGTCTCCCAGGTCCTAGGTCCCAGTCTGACACAAAGCCCTACACCACAGCTGCGCCAGAAACCCCTTTCCAAAAAAACTGGACTTTTCCCCTTTCTTGCCACAAGGAAAGCGAGGGGAAATTGCCCTGGGAAGTGGGGAGGGTCGCTTGCTTCCCCGCAGCCTCCTCTAACCTCGCTCCAAACCCCTCGTCGGGACGGCTGCGCAAGAAGCCCCCCGAGGCTACAGGCAGGACGGCTCAGTGTTGAGCCTCCCGAGTCAGAGGCAGTCTACACCTGAGCGCGGTCCTGAGACGACACCCCACCCACTGCCCCCCGCAAGATGCTCGCTCTTATGCCCGTTCCCACGTGCACGCCTGCCCCGCACTCCCGGGGTCCCCGTCTCGGCTCTCACCTGGCCTCCTGCAGCCGGTCGGGGCGCACTGGCGGGGCGGCAGCGGGAGCAGCGCGGGGGTCCTCTCGCCCAAGCAGACGGCGGGGACCGGCAGGAACCGGAGGGCGCAGCCGAAGCGCAGCGCGCCCGGGGAGGCGGCGGCGGCCCAGAGGCTGGCCCCGGGCGCGCTCCGACGGGGCGGCTCCGGCTTGGCCAGCAGCGACTCGATGTCGAAGCGGCTCCGCGGCGGAGGCGCCGGGTCCCGGGTGGCCTCGACGGCCGGCTCGCCCAGCGCCGAGAAGGGCAGCGGCCGGCTCTGCAACATGCTGGCGACGGGGCGGGCCGGAGAGGTGGCCCAGCCGCGGGCGACGGGGGCTTTATAGGGCGGCCCCGTCCAGCCCGGAGGGCGTGGCCCGGGCCGGGGATGAAGCCTCCGGGGGCCGCGCCGTCGAGGAAAACTCCCCCTCGGCTGCTCCCTGCCGCGCCGTCGGGCTTGGCTTCCTCTCCTCGACGGGGCGGCCGGAGGAGACGCCTCGGGCGCGCAAATCCGGCAGCAGCCCGGCGCCCCCGACAGACCCCCTCTCTCCGTCCCGAGCGTCTAGCCCGACGGCGGCCCTGTCGGCCCTGTTGCTTCTCCCGGCCCTTTCCCGGACGGGCAGCCGCTAGACTGTAGGCTCCGCGGGGCAGGGACCTGCGTCCCCTTCGCCAGCCCCCAGAAGCGAGTCAGGAAGGGAGGGCTGTCGTCTGGATGCTGTGGTTGCAAAGCTTGCACTCACGGCGTGCATTTCCATGGGTCTACTTCGAGTAAGCGCTGCCGGAGTTGCCCTGTAAAGCGCCCTGCGCCCCCGTGGCACCCCCAGAACAAGGGCCGAGATCAGAGCAGTCGGCCTTTGAGTGCTAACTGCGCCCACCTGGCTGGCACCCGGCCCCCTGGTTGCCTTTCCTAGAATCACGGAATTGCAGAGATGGGAGGGGGTTCAAGGGTCATCTAGTCCAACCCCTTGCAATGCAGGAATCACAAGGAAAGCATGCAGGCACTGCGCTCTAATCCGGATTTTGTAAGGGCCCAACGTGTTGTAATAATAGTGTAATAATAATAAACGTGTAATAATAGTAATAATAATAATAATAATAATAATAATAATATATTATTTATACTCCACCCATCTGGTTGGGTTTCCCCAGCCACTCTGGGCAGCTCCCAACAGAATATTAAAAACAATACAGCACCAGACATTATAAACTTCCCTAAACAGGGCTGCCTTCGGTTGTCTTTTAAAAGTAAAATACCGTATTTTTTGCACCATAACACTCACTTTTTTCCTCCTAGAAAGTAAGGGGAAATGTCTGTGCATGTTATGGAGGGAATGCCTATGGGTGGCATGCCTACGGATTTTCCTCCTCTAAAAACTACGTGCGTGTTATGGTTGGGTGCGTGTTATAGAGCGAAAAATACGGTAGTTGTTTATTGCCTTGACATCTGCTGTAGGTGGCTGTTGAGAGGTGATTCAGACTTGTTGGGGGTGTTACTGTTTTATTTTTGTTCTTATTTTTATTATGCATTTGGTGTTTTCAATATTGTAATTTTAGGTGGTGGACCTCCCTGAGATCTATGAATTAAGGACAGTATAACACATTAAATAAATAATAAATATCCACATTTCTTGCCATCCTCTTTGTTCTTTGCCACCCCAGTGACGTCCTTGCTGTCAACTTAGGAATACTGGAGACAATTGAGCAAAAACAACTGAGATCACAAAAATGGTTATTAAGGTGTCAACACGACAGCTTGTTTTCCACAATGGGCCAGGACATTTTTCCTTGAGGGCAATGTAACCTTTTTTAAACCCCTGGCTAGGCTGAATAGGGCTTACTCTCAAGTAAACGTGCCCAGAACTGCAAGGCAGGTGGTGCAATGTTATACATCTAGTTATTCAGATTTTTGTCTCTTTGCATTCAATGGGGTTTCCTACTCCCGGGAAAATGTGCACTGCCTTGCGGCTTTAAATGCTGGTGTGATCACACAGAAAAGTTTCATAACCTGGCTGGTTTTTAGGGTGATTTACACCAGGGACTGATATTCTCAAAGAAGCATTCCACTACCTTGTTAAGACACATAACTAAAGCTTTGCAGTGCAATAGGGAAAAACAAAACCTGATCTCTGTTTGCCAATTAGCCATTTAACATTTGAGAATTGCAGGCATCAATGGCCTATCAGCAGAATTTCAAGGTTTTAGATCTGCATAGTGATCCTATTAAAGAGTCAGCTAATGGAAAAGGGATTGCGGGAAGATAATGAATGGAGGTTGGATTAAGGAGGGCGGGGGCCCTGGCGCAGCTCCCCAAATAGGGCCCCTCATTCCCACAAAAAGGAACACATGGAAAACAGCACCACAAAATGAGACAGGCAGTATTTTAAATACTCGCAGATTTATTAGTGCACAAGCTTTGATGCGCTGCAAAAATACTGTGCAGTTTCACATTCAAAACTCAATGCATAAGTAGTTTTGCTCGCCTCCAGCCTTGGGCCAGTCACCCGACTCCCACCCTATCCTACCTCACAAGGCTGTTGGGAAGATAGAGGAAGTTGGTAGGAATGGCTGCAAGGTTCTTCATTCTTTTTTGCTTTTGAGGTCAGTCTTTCTCTTAATCGCTCAGTAACAAAACCTAGCAGCAGCCGCGAAATTAAAAGACGCCTGCTTCTTGGGAGAAAAGCAATGACAAACCCAGACAGCATCTTAAAAAGCATCACCTTGCCAACAAAGGTCCGTATAGTTAAAGCTATGGTTTTCCCAGTAGTGATGTATGGAAGTGAGAGCTGGACCATCAAGAAGGCTGATCACCAAAGAATCAATGCTTTTGAATTATGGTACTGGAGGAGACTCTGGACTGCAAGAAGATCAACCCTATCCATTCTGAAGGAAATCAGCCCTGAGTGCTCACTGGAAGGACAGATCCTGAAGCTGAGGCTCCAAGACTTTGGCCACCTCATGAGAAGAGAAGACTCCCTGGAAAAGACCCTGATGTTGGGAAAGATGGAGGGCACAAGGAGAAGGGGATGACAGAGGACGAGACGGTGGGACAGTGTTCTCTAAGCTTCCAGCATGAGTTTGACCAAACTGCGGGAGGCAGTGGAAGACAGGAGGGCCTGGCATGCTCTGGTCCAGGGGGTCACGAAGAGGCGGACATGCCTAAACGACTAAACAACAACCACAAAACGTAACCAAAAGAACCTCTTCCACTTTTCTGTGTTCTGCCCCAATAGCCTAACCACTGAGGGAACTAAGAGGGTTTTTAATGGTTATGGAGCAATCTGACAAACAAATTAGTTGTGTTATGTTGTTTGGTCTTATGCCCCCTTTTTGTAAACATAGTGGGCTGTCTATACGGTATTTAAGTTCAGAACCATTTTGTCCCTTAAAAGGAACGCAAGGGTCCGGTCCTGCACCAACTCAGCTGGGAGTAAGGCCCATTAAACCTCAGACATTTGGTCCTGCCCAGGGTCCCCCAGGCTGCTACCAACCCAGAGAAGTGCTGGATTTTACCCCACGTTCTGCAGCGTTCTTGGAAAACAGCAGTAACATTGCGTGGGGTTATTTATTATTCTTTATTTATTTATATACAACTTCATGCAAGCCACATTGTGCAATCAATACAGAACAACAAACCCCTGTGTTGCAAACTTAACACAACAAACAACACAAGCAACATGCTGACCGGTATACTAGATAGCACTGCAATTCTTGTTGCATAATATACATGTTTTAGTACAACAAAATCAACAAAAAAATGTGTATACTTGTAAATTCTCTAAGATATTTGAAATCAAATGAACACACGTCTGTCAATCTTGGAAAGTCTGTAGAAGTATAATAAGTCTATAGCTGAAAGAAAGTAATAGATGCTGTCCTGTGGGCTAAGCAGTAAAACTTTTAAGGCATTCAGGTGCGGAAGTAGTAAGTGAATAACAACATAGGACAGTGATCCCAGATAATCTGACTGTTTGGCTGGAATCTTCTTCAGCGCAACCCATAGATTAGAAAAATGCACAAGTAAATTAAAGGAGCAGAACTTTGGGACCCCCTTGATCTCTCTCACATACCCAGTTTCCATGCAAAAGATGCCCCAACCGCAAAAGCAACCTCAGGCGATGGTTTGTAGCACCAGTATTTATTTTAGGGGCGCCAGGGTCCCCTGCCCTGACCCGAGATGTGCCCCACATCCCAACGGTCTCCCAGAATGTTTCTTCTAGGTCACAAGGTGCAGGTTCTGGGAGGCTGCGGAAATGCCCTGGAAAACGCCCCCCCCCCCAACAAACACACACCCTGCGAGGACATCTTTATCCTCCTGGCCGTTGAGGGCACCTGTTCCCTGCCCCTTCTCCGTGGGGAGTCTGGGGGGCCGGGAGAGAAAGGGGGGGCAGGCTAGGTGTGAAATTTCTCATGGGCCAAGAAGGTGGATGCTACCAGCTGGGTGCCTCGCTGGGGGGAGGCAAAGGCGAAATCTGGGATTGGGGGGGGGACATTCTTGGGGAGGAGGAACTCTGCAATGGGGAGCTGGGCCAAATAGGGCTTTGTACTGGCCGGGGATTGTAAAATGCTCTCTTCTCCTTTCCTCAATGGGGAACAAGGCCCCGCTCCATCTAATAGTCATTAGCATCAATTAGAAGCCTTTGAAGTGGCCTGAGCATCTTTGTCTTCCTGCAGCAAAACAGAGCTCCTTTCAGGCGTCCCATCACCATAACATCTGGAGCCAGGAGAGGCAGCTTCCTTGGTCCTCGGAGTCCCTTTCATCTCTTGTCAAGGTGCCTGGAATGTTAATGCACCCCTATTCTTTCGGCTGAACCACCAGGAAATGCTTTTCACTCCTGGACACTTTGCTGGGGGGGAGGGGAGTTGTTGTTTATAAAAAGCGGGGCTTGTTGCTTGAAGGTCTCCTCTCCAAAAGGAGGAGAATGAAGGGGGACAGGCTCTCCCCCTTCCTTCCTCCAAGGTGGGGTGGGGTGAGGGCAGGCCTGCCCCCCCTCCTGCGGCAAGACAAGCCCCCCTGGCTCTCTGCCCCATCTCTCCAGCGCAGGCGGCCCAGCTTGCTGGCTCCTGTGAGATTTCCCACATCGTTACCAGGGGGTGAAAATCCCCAGCTTTTTAAAAAGGACACATTAGCCAAGCACACAACACTAATTTGGGGGGGGGGGGCTGCTCATTAATCAGCCCAGGAGGGAGAACCTTTGGCTTGGGGGGGGCAGGAGTCGCTTTTGGCCTCTAGATATCTCTCCAGCCCAATAAAGCAAAGTTTGAAAGTTTAACAGCAGCAGACCTGAATAT